GAGCAGTTTATATATATATATATACAGTACAGACTTGGTACCTACGATGTTTTGCATAGATATTAGTGCATCACATTATACTTTTATCATTTTAGATAGCACTACTGTATGGGAAATTATTTCATAATCTTACAACACGCAATCATGTTGCTAAAAGTTTGACAAATAGTTTAGATTTGCTCATTATTCACTTTTATTTTGCAATAAAACAAAAAAAGAAATGGTCTCACCCGTAGAATATGTAGGCTTGTATGACCTTATCAGGTTCTACATCATTACTTTGATAAGTTTCTACTTTTCTTATTTTCGACCCTAACAATGGACTTCGAACTAAATTTTACTTGATGGTTTTTTTTTTCTTTCAGGTTTTTATCTCAATACTTTGTTGTGAACAGGCTTCAGTCAATAATATTGAAATGTTGCCTTTACTTAACTAAAACTTCTTCTTAAGCCTATTGTTATCTATGCAAATTCGCGGAAAATATATAGATGTTTATGGCGCAGTAAAAGCACGTGACTTCCTACTGTATCACTTCAATAACGTCATCTAAATAATACTTACATATTTGTTGTTAGATTCACTAAGACATACTCCGTTGTGATTTATAACATAAATGTAATCACCTGAAACAGGATTAACTATCATTATCGACATTCATATACAGAGCACTATTTCAACTGTAACGCTAGTTTCAAAATCTTCAATGTTATAGATTAGCCCCCCAGTGGCACAGCGATATGTCTGCTGAGTTACAACGCTAGAATCCGGGTTTCGATACCCGTGATGGGCAGAGCACAGATAGCCCATTGTGTAGCTTTGTGCTTAATTACAAAGAAGAAAGAAAGTTATAAATTAATTAAACATGCACATTTTAGTTTTTAAACTTTGTTTTAAGTTATATTAATCCTTGTACCATTATAATACACGTGAACCGAAGTTTTTTTTTCGGTGAGTCCCTCTCTTTAAAAGAAGATAATAATATACTATTGCGCGTTATACAAAGGTAATTCTATACCATTAGGTGATTTTGGTGATCAATTTTGTTTTTGGTAGGTGCTTTCAAACTGTATGTAGCCACAGATGTTTTTATTCACTGACATCTGTATGGAATCCAGCATATCTTTACACCTGTGTGTGCCTGTATGTGTGTGTATGTGACTGATACAGTTTTTCATTAAATACATGTGCGAGTACTGAAGAATGGAGTATTTCAAGGAAAAATAACAGTTTCTTAAATCGACAAATCGCTAAATTTGCAACCTACTGATTAAACCTTTTTACTATAATTCTAATATGCTTTGGGATGTCATAAGTCGTCAGATCCATAACTTGAATTTCGAACATGATGTTGTTATTATTGTACGAAAAGGAAAAACATTAAGATATCGGTGATAATATTCATATAAAGCAGTACTGGGGCTAAATTTATACTGGTATTTTGTTGTTGTTGTTTTTAACGCAAAGCTACACAATAAGCTGTCTGCGTTCTGTCCATCACGGAGAATCTAAACCCGGATTTTAGCGTTCTAAGTCCGTATAATTACCGCTGATCCACCGAAGGACTATTGGAAAGGAGGGGTATCAACAAGGGCCTAAAATAACCCATAATATATTTGGATAAAACTGTAGACAAATTTAATGATATATATATATATATATATATACACACATTAGCAAATACAGTGGTACATATTACATCACATGGTGATAGAGGTATTTACGTCCTCATGTTTCATTATAACGTTATAACATTTTTACCAGGTCCATAATTAACAAGATGGCAGCCACTAAAGTGGGCAGATCTATATGTTAATCAGATCAAACATCTTGTTGTAGCTATTTCTAAATATTTATATGTATATATATATACATTAGCAAATACAGTGGTACATATTACATCACATGATAATAGAGGCATTTACGTCTCGTACCACCGACTAATCAGGTAATATACCAGCACCTGTTACAATAGCTTTGTATGATATCGATTTAAAACAAACCTTAAGTTAATGTTATCTGCCCAGCGCTGGAATTAATCTACAATATTATAATTCAGTCACTTACATCATCAGCTAATATCCACTTCTGATTACCTGCAGCAACCACTTGCTGCTCGTGTGATGTTAGAAAGGGGACAATAATGTGTTCTGGATTTAATTGGTGGAAACAACATCAATACAGTCCTCTAAAGGTACTGAACCCTATAGGGGTTAAGCAGTGTATATCCCACAATGTATGTGGGGGAGGGCCTCAGGTTTGCCTTGCCATTTCCAAAAAATACAAAAAACATTTTATATCTTCGAAATATTCCCCCAGTGGGTCAGCGATAAACTTACAGACTTACAATTCTAAAATCCGAGGTTCGATTCCCCGCCGTAACCAGAGTGTGGCTAGCTCATTGTATAGCTTTGCACTAAGAAGCAGCAACCTTTGAAATTTCGAGAGGCCCAGAAGTTGTTTGCTTCTTTCGGGATTTCGCGTAAAACTACACATCCCTAGTTTTGAACTAACAGACTAGAAGGAAGTCAGCTAATCAACAGCATACACTTCCAATTCTTGGGCTTTTCTTTTTATTTGACTATTGGGATTTGCCTATATAACCTCTTATGACCTACCCATGGTCTTAAAATACGTTCTCGTTTTTGCAGCAAGGATATACAGTTCAAACACGTTAATCATTAGGCCACGCCTGGCCCAGAGTAGACATGAAAATTACTACAAACTAAGTTCTCCACATGCGCAACATTCTCAATAAATGTAAATTCCTTACTCTATATAAAGGACCATTCCAAATCATCTCAACGTGTTATGTACAATATCAACTTTCGCTACCTTTTCTAACTTGTGGCATATTCAAGATTATCTACAGTTACTGAAAGACATTTCTATCCCGTTTCGTTTTTGTGTTGTTGTTAGTTTGTAGTTATGCACATAGCTACACAATGGGCTATCTGTGCTCTGCCCACCACGAGTATCTAAATCCGTTTTCTAGCGTTGTAAGTCCGCAGACATACCGATGTGCTACTGGGGGCCTCGTTTTTGTGATACAGTAGACCATCTTAGGCCCTTAACGATATGCATGTTTTTGGCATTCAAAAATGAGCGTTGTGTTGTTATGGCAAAAAAGTTATTGAACCTTTCAAACTAAGTATTTTAATTTCAAAGCATCCCTAGTGGCTCAGCATTTAGTCTGATAATTTATAACGCTAAAAATTGGGTTTCGACACCCGTGATGGGCACAGCATAGATAGCCCTTTGTGTAGATTTAGGCTTAACAACAAACAAATAAAACTTTCAAAGCAAATGACTTTACTTCTAGAAAATTAACACATATTCACTTGTTTATGAACCAAATTATCATACAATTTCGAATATAAAAAAATTATGTTGGGATTTACAATCTGAACGGCATCTTATGCTCACATTGATTAAACGGTCAGGTAAAATATCACTAAAGCTCAAGTACAGCCATTTTGGACAACAGAGGGAGGAAAGCCAGTCAGCAGCATCCTTCGCCACTTGGAACTCCTGGAAACGAATGTTGGGATGAAGTGTCATTTCTATAATGCCCTACAGGTGAAAGAGCGACGGTGTTCAACGGGATCTTTTAAACTTCCAATTTACAATCCGACACGCTGACGACTAGGACAAACCCGGCACTCGATAGTGGGTGTTAAGCTTCTGAAAAGTAAAATATTAGTAATATTAAGATCATCTTACTTACATTGGGTTTCACTTGTTTTTTAGCGTAAATTTAAGCCGAGCCCCCACCTCCACCCTTGGGGAATTTACATTGAAAATATTGTGTGAAAAATACTGTAATAATAAAAATGGATATACAATTATTAATAATGTTAATGTATTAAGTTAAAGTGATTGCTTCCGGCCGGTTTCTTCCCTGTGCTTCGTACTTCAGAATGGGGAACAGCGCAAGCTATCTGAACTGCACGCGAACAAACGTGTTGTGACAGGACTCCACAATTGGATGAAGGAGAATCTGTACTTTTGGCGGTGCTAAATTCCTCTGAATAAATGAATATAAAACAACAGCATGCTAGATTATGTTTATGTACGATAATAACTGCTTTTGAATGCATCAAGTATTTAAAATAATATTTTCAATAATTGACTTAAGCTTTAATGCGAAAAATAAGAATGAAACAAAAAATAAAAAAATTAATTGAAACTTCCGTTGAAATTACGTCATTACATGGCGTAAAAATAATACCAAATACAGAGCAAGAAAACTTATCCATATCCTTTCCGTTTTTCAGGATAAAGATGCCGATGGTATTACAAAATAATAAGCTAGAAAGAGGCCTGAACTGTTGGCATTTGGGACGGACGTAAATACAAAATGCAAATACAAATATAAAACACTTTGTATCACACTGTTTTGTGAGCTGTCAATCATGTGAATGAGGGTGCAGTTCTTCTTTAGACCTGCCAGTTGAGTGTTCACTTGTCATAGATTGCAATGCTTTTTTTTTATGCGCCTTTGGAGTAGCATTCGACCGACAAGTTAAGATCTCTTTTAAATGACGTTTCACAAGTTTCAATGTTTTGGCATTAGATATTATCAGAAATATCTCACAGTGTTCTGTTTCAATGTTTTGGCATTAGATATTATCTGACATATCTCACAATGTTCTAGCGTTATATACTATTAATAACATCTCAGTTCACAAAGTACGGATAGAATAAACTGAAGTAATGTGTCTCGATGAAATGAAAATTCTGGGCTTTTTTTTTGTTGTTGTTCATTAGATCAAATGTAAAGAAGTTTCGAAAATATATTTCAGCTTTTCAAAATGATCTGTATTATTTATTTATTTGTTAGAATGTTATATCGTGAAGGTAGTTGAAAGAGTATGTATGTTTGTAAAATGAATCATCAAAATAACTGATTTTCAAAAGATAATCCTGCTTTCTCGTTTAACTATTTGTTCATAGTGAAAGCAGAAGTTTTTTTTTTCTCATTATATTACGTTCCTTTCAGAATGTGGACCCGGACCAGGTATTCACAAAGCAGGAGAAAATTGGAAAAGGAAATTTCGGAGAAGTTTACAAAGGAGTGGAAAACAAGACTCAGCAGGTGGTAGCCATCAAGATTATTGATCTGGAAGAAGCGGAGGATGAAATTGAAGATATTCAGCAAGAAATCATGGTCTTATCACAGTGTGATAGCCCCTATGTGACAAAATATTACGGATCGTATCTCAAGGTGAAAATCTCTTGTTATTGTCATAATGTTAAAAACTCTGTAGTTCTGTGTTTATCATAGTATTAGATCCAGTTCTATAGTATATTCGTAGTTTTTGTCATAATGTTAGAGCCAGTTCTGAAAAATTATTTTGTTTATCATACTATTTGAATCAGTATTGTTGTATACTTGTAGCTTTTGTCATATTATCAGTGCTTTTCATGAACAATATTTTTTTCGGTAATTTAGGATTGAGTGGACATATGACAAATACTGTTTTCATTGATCCAGTATCGTTTGAGCATTTCCTATGAAAATGAACAAACAGATATTTTGTTGATTGTCTAAGAACAATAAAACACGCAGTTTTATAAAGAGACACAAAATTATTCTTGATGATTTAGTGCTAACTAAACACTTCTATGTATGCGAACAAAAACTTATTAATGATGTCCTGAATTGAGTATGGACTTATTGGGTATACCAACTAAAATATGTAATTGATAAACAAAAGTTGAATTATTATGAACGTAAAATTGTCCCTCACAGCCCACTACTGGGCAAATATTTATTACATACATGAACAAAGAATTGATAAACAAGTAATTATTGCTGATATCCTAATATTGTGTAAATTTTGCTGTATACGCACACAATGGTTTATATATTATTTTGGGTTTTGTAAGCATTTTTGTGTACACGAACAAATACTTATTTTTGTTGCATAAAATGCCTCAAGCTTGGACACGATAACATTCGTAGTTATAGGATATTTGAAATGCTACTATATAAATTTTCCTTACCGAAACCTGTATTTGGCCAATAAACAAATATGCGAGTTAAGTTATATCCAGCCTTGTTATGATGTATATCACACACACACACATTTCTACTAAATCATTCATTCTTGACGATCTGAGTATTTTTGTTGAGTGCACGAACACAAAGTTGGTGTTTTTAATATAGTATTGATTGAACCATTGTTTTGATAGTCGGAATGGGTTAAATTACTTTTGTTATGAATAAGAGTTAAGACATACGTAGCATAAATTCCATAACTAAGTTGAATGTAAGTGTATTAGCCCACTGCCCCTTCTTAACAACATAAGTTGAATGTAAGTGTATTAGCCCACTGCCCCTTCTTAATAACATAAGTTGAATGTAAGTATATTAGCCCACTGCCCCTTCTTAATAACATAAGTTGAATGTAAATGTATCAACCCACTGCCCCTTCTTAATAACATAAGTTGAATGTAAGTGTATTAGCCCACTGCCCCTTTTTAATAACATAAGTTGAATGTAAGTGTATTAGCCCACTGCCCCTTTTTAATAACATAAGTTGAATGTAAGTATATTAGCCCACTGCCCCTTCTAAATAACATAAGTTGAATGTAAGTGCATTAGCCCACTGCCCTTTTTTAATAACATAAGTTCAATGTAAGTGTATTAGCCCAAATAACAAAATATGTCTTTACACTCTATTTCATAACTAATCCGACGATTCCGGTATATGTTTAACTCACTGTGTTTTACAAATAAACAAGTATGCTCTTTAATGCATGTGATTTTAATAATGACTACAGTTAATTCACGCATTTGCTCCGTGTAAAGATAAATATTTAAGGAGAACAGATAATATAATTCCCACTTGACTTAACATGTATATTCCAACCTTCTTTTATCAACAAGTATCACCAGAGTGTATATATATTTTTAGGAAACTTTCGTTCATAACCTAACGTTATCTATACAGATCTTGTCCTGTGTTTTTAAATTTCTGTAGAATACCGTTAGTTTTAAGTAATAATTCTAGATATTTTTCAACCTCAAGTTCGCATACTTGTACTCATATTTTCATTGATTTTGAAGAATGCTAAGTTATGCAACATTTTTTATCAGACCCCCGTAATTTGCTTTTACCGCAAATAATTCCTTTCATCACTACAGACAAATGACTGTCAAGAATTGTTCAACATTTTATCTATTACAGAAATATTTTACAACACACGTAATAAGACTCGGGTCGATACAAATGCATGGTTGTTAGGTTGTTATTCAACCTTCTATAACTAACTAGCTTAAGCCGGTTGTTACTTTGCATTCTTAGCTGTTTGAAAAAAAATATCATGACTTCTTCAACCGTTGAGGTTTATGGTTAAATGGAAAACATGTACAGCTTTCAATCTTTCCTCCTTTGTTTCCTTGGTTACGCATCATTACTTCCAGAGCAATTGTTGCACAGATCTTAATGGATCAAGTACTGACATCAGTAAATACAAACAGATGCTTAAACAATAGCAATTATTGTTATATAACTAAGTCTGAAGGGGTTAATAACCTGAAATTTCTAACAAGTCGCTATCAACCGTGATGGTAAGATAGCAAGAATACAGGAGTAACATTTTCCTTTCCACGCACACTCATATACACAAAAGAAAAAATAAGATATTTTCTGTTAGTTTTCCCACTGGATCACTCCATATCACGTGTAAGTATCATTCCTTGTCACGTGTAAGTTCATATATGGAACCAAACGTATCTATTGACATCACACATAAAACAAAGAAAAATCATAATTATTGTAAGTACATGTAGGACTACAGTATGTAACATTCCAGCTAAGTTTTGTCATAGTTGTTCTTCATTTTATTGTTGTTATTATTGAGTTAAAACATATCTTTCTCACCTCTCCTCATCATTACGTAGTCTTACCTAAAATTAGTGCACACTCAAAAAGAACAACGTGAATAGCAAAATCATGATGATTTAGTATTTCCTTTATATTTTCATGTAAATAAATACATTCACACAGATAATATAAGGCTTGAGGATCAGAAAATTTCTAGTTTCCACCAGGAGTCATGTTGCACAGAAAATCTAACTGTTCCAGCATCATTGCGCCTGCCTGCTATAGACTTTTGTCGTGTTTTGATTTTCGTTCATACTTCCTGATATTCTTTTACTACGAAATAGAATTCTGGCGATCATGGTTTAGGTTTTGTTACCTGTTTTGTATGTTTTATCTTATTGCATATCTCTGTGATATCATTGTTTCCCTGAACAATACGTAACAACAAGAATATTTATGGAATCGATTTATATAAGCTCTGTACCTTGCCTAACACTTCATACTTCTAGTGTTATACAGTATATTATTTTAATCTGGTTTTAAATATATTAACACGTTGATGCTACTTCAACAAAGAGTAAGGAATGAATACATGTTGTCCTGTAAGTAAAAACAGGTCTAAAAATAGATGTTCTGTGATAATGAGGCCAAAATAATTATTTCATTATCTCAAAACAGTATAGGTCTCAAAAGACTGGCCATACATCAAATTAATAAATATAACTGTTTATTTGAGACAAACAGAAAAGTTCGAACGATATACCTCCAATTGAAAACAGAATTTCAAAACAAGAAGTACTAAAACACTGGTAAATAACAGCATGATGCAAGACTATATGAGCGAAGTATTTGAATCATAACGAGTTCTAAACATGGAAAAATATGCATTTCACTGTCGTGTTAAAGAATAATGCAAGACTATATGAACGAACCTAAAATATAAAAGGTACTCAGCATGGAAAGATCAATGTGTGTATCATTTCATGCTATTCTGATAAAGATAGCTATATAGGTAATTTAAAGTGATCTTAAAAAAATTAATAACCGGGATTTAAATTCAAGAAAGTCGTCCTTAATTTGTCACATTTATTATCTACTAATAATACCGAATGCTGTTCGAAAAATGAATTTAAAGTACTACTCTTTCTGCATTACAGGGCACTAAATTATGGATTGTTATGGAATATCTGGGTGGAGGCTCTGCACTGGACCTCATGAAGGCTGGAAAGTTTGAAGAGGGGCACATAACTATCATCTTACGGGAAGTGTTGAAGGGGCTAAACTATCTACACTCAGAACGAAAACTTCACAGAGATATTAAAGGTAAGCTAGGAAGTGTTTCAGTGTATTACACAAACTATAACACACGTGAAAGGTAAGCTAGGAAGTGCTTCAGTTTATTACACAAACTATAACACACATGAAAGGTAAGATAGGAAGCGCTTCGGTTTATTCCACAAACTATAACACACATGAAACGTAAGATAGGAAGTGCTTCAGTTTATTATACAAACTAATGCACACATGAAAGGTAAGCTAGGAAGTGCTTCAGTTTATTACACAAACTATAGCACATACTGTTGCGTATCTGCTTGTTTGTTAATTTCCCGTAGAAATTCTTTCCGAGAAACTTCAGCGATACAAATCCTTTCTTAATTAAAACTAGTTTATTTTTTCTCGATACAACTTTGCAATACACAGAATTTCCACAGTCACTTTAACTTAACTAATTTTATAAACACACGCTATAATTCACACACTTTACTTACGGTGCCTACTGTTCGCTTGACTCAATTATCAATTATTTCTCTTCAATCTATCTCCGTCTTATATATTAAAAAAGAGGGTGTCTAGCAAACGCTGGGACATTCGTGAGGTTGCCCGATAAAACACCATACTTCTAGAAACTCCAGCGCGCATGCTCCCAGCGTCGTGTGACTTCCGCTGTCGTAACACTGCCCCTTCCTTAGTATTGTTCGTCCCGAACAAGAGCCACTTACATTAAACCAATAGATAATTAACAATAACTTAATTAAATGTACAGAATTACAAACACAAAATTAAAATTCAACAAAGTCTCTTAATTTTAGAGGACGTATCTTCTTCCGTACTGGTCTCCGTCTCATTGGCTTTTGCTTCATGTGGGGTTCATCTGCTTCATCAGGAAACGTCCCATTATCGGTAACAGGCACACCAGTGGTAGTAACTTTATTAACGGCTTCACTGTTTTCCCTCTCAAAACCAGGTAGAGTTTCTTCTCCAACAGCGGCTTTTACAGGTGACACATCTTCAGCAGCGTCATTTATTCCGTTGTTCACTTCGTTCCAACTGAAATGTCCTGGACCATGATACGCCAAAGCATGTTGGCATGCACCACCTTTGGCTTACCTCGCCGACCACATTTTATTCGGAAAGTCACGTCTGAGAGACGATCCACTATGTCATATAGGCCTTCCTATGGAGATTGCAAATTAGGAGGCTTCCCTTTGGCCTTCCTGGGATTATACAACCACACCTTGTCTCCTGGTACAAAGCTGACTTCAGTAGATCTCTTATCATAAGTTAACTTCATCGAATCAGCAGACGTTTTCAAGTTTGAACGCACTTGATGGTGAATATCATCCATCCTTTTAGATAACACTTTCACGAACTCTGGCACATTTTCAGGCAACTGTTCTTAAGGTGGAAGTCCTGTTAACAGATCCACTGGCAACCGAAGTTCCCGACCAAACATCAACTTTGCTGGAGTGTATCCAGTGGTTCCATGCTCTGCTGTTCTATAGGCCATCAACAGTTGAGGGAGTAAGACATCCCAGTCATCTTGGTGGATATTACAAAACTTTGCCAATTCCTGTCCCAGTGTCCAATTGTACTTTTCTACCACCCCATCAGACTGTGGGTGAAGTGGCGTTGTCT